CTGTAGAGTACTCTGATTTTCCCTGTTAGTGAAATCATGTTAGTTGACTGTATTATGGCTTATAGACTTTACTTTATGTGAGCTGCATCTTGAACAATGATTTGAAGTTCAAACGCTGCCTTTATTATACCCATCAATACATGTGGATGCGGTTTCATTAAATTTATATACTTGAAGCAGGCGGTCTTCGCCCAAGACCGCCTGAGATGCATTTTGAATAACATTGCGTAAGTCCGTTTCTCAAAAAGAGTCGATAACCAGAAGTGGTTCAAATGTATGCATTTTAAGTCAAACTCTAAGAATGGTCGTGCGTTTACTTAAGTTGATCCTTAGATAATGTAAATATTGCAGAGATTATAAATCAGAATTTCGAGCGCAAAAGAGGTGGCGGGACTTTTTTTCTAGGAGTAAATAACGGCCAAGGATACAACGTTCTCAAGCAAATGGTTTCCAATCAGGATTACGTGCATGATATCTTGCTTAATATATTGTGCGCAATTTATGGTTTAACTTTTTGTTAGGAATATATTGTTGTTGTGTTCTGCTGTTTATTCAGCTTGCAATGCAGCTAAAATAATCGAATAAACTGTAGAAATTTACTCGAGTCGGGTAACTCCGATCGATACATTTTTCAAAAGGAAAATGTTTTTTTCCCGACCTGATTTTTTTTGCTATGAAACAAGATGAAGGCGGACAGAAGCCAACGAAAATTTAGGATGAAAAATCAGGCGCTTAAAAGCAGCTTTCTTATTACAAATTTAGAAATTCACAGTAATCTTGCGTTCGCGCATGCGTTCTTTGTGTAGCATTGATATGCGTGAATGTTTTCCCCTCACTCGTTCTTAAGAAACAACCATTTTTTTTGCCCTTTTATGAGCCCATAGGGAAGGCAATTTGAATCTATCTCTGTCACCTTTTATCAGTATTTTATGCAACGAAATTCATACGCCTCCACCTGACACGGTTTTGTAATACCTCATAAATTTCCGTATACAGGGTACATACAAGACTACTCGGGGATTTCCGCGGTTTGAATTTTATGAAAATTCGTGTTGCGAATTTTAAGAAAATTCATGTAACCTTTGATCGAGCGTCAGATATAGGGCGACCGAGTAAAGCACTCTGATCTGTGTATACCTAATTATCATTTGTCGAGTAGGAAGAATAAATAGAAGTTCTTATAGGGATGCACTCACTTTCAATATTTTCGATGCCATTCTATAACGAATGCCACCTAGAACTTAGTATTTCAACCTCGTCACCCGGCCTATTCCTAGTTTCTATCCCGTGGGAGGAGTAAAATACTTTATAGCTAGTGAAGCTTACTAATTCAGTGACGATGACACATTGGATAAGTTTTCACGCTGAAGTAATAATAACGTTCAACTGAACATGGACGTGTTTTTGTGCTAAGCAACTAGGAACTGTATGTAAAACGAGCAACTCAACGGCTAGGTTTCTGGCCATCCATTGGGTATGCATTTTTTGTGATTTCTCATCGGTTTGATCTGCTTGAGATTCTAAATGCAACGAAAACAAAAGCCTTTTTTTGTTTTTAGTTACATATTATACGATTAAAAGTTGTATGTATTCAGCCCTAATGTAGGCTAAATGCACCAGGATGACCAAAACTTTAATTACAGTGGAACCTCTATTCAAGGGACACCCTCGGGACCAAGGCAAGTGTCCCTTGAATGGAGGTTGGGCTGGGGTTTGTTGATAATTAACCAATAAATAAATTCTTTTATTCTGTCTCACGGCTCGGTATTTGCTGCAGTCATTATTTCAAGTAACTCGGTTATGTATAAAATATCACGATCAACTTATCTCTGCGATGTTGTGTGTTGAATTCCCACAAGTGTCGTGCATCGATTTTAGTGAGATAGTTCATCTTTTGAAAGTTATCGCCATTGTGATTAGTATGCACTTAAACTTATCAATGATTTTGGTGGTCAGTCACTTTTTAAGTGGTGTAGGTGTTCCCCTAAATGGAGGTTAAACCCCGGGGGGGGCACTTGGGTATTTTTTGGGTGGGTATGTGCCGCCCGGGACTCCAAAATGGCACCCCGTTCTGGAAAAAATTTCCCGTAAAAATGATACCCCGTTCTAGAAATGGGCCAATTTTTTATACTCCGTTCTAGGGTGCAACAAGAGTACAACGGTTTGCTTGTTAACGTATTGAACCGTATTTTTAAAAGCAATCTGTCCTTGAATACTTTCAAATGGCTGCCAACAAATGGAGCTTTCGTGCGTTCGAAATATTATACCCCGTTCTAGAAAACGCCTCTGAAATGGATACCCCGTTCTAAATCAGGAGCTTCAAAATCACGACCCCTTTGGGCGGCACATACCCGTATATGTAATGTATGGGAGTATCCCCCCGGGGGTTAAACCCGAGTTTCGGGACCCTCAAAAAGTGTCCCTTTCGCCTGAATGGAGGTGTCCCTTCAATAGAGGTAACAAATACAAAGGTTATGTGAACACTTTTCCGGGACCAAATTTTGTGTCCAATGAGAGGTGTCCCAAAGGAGAGGTTCCACTGTTTGTTGGCTTTTTTTTTTCATTGTTAGTGAAAGGCTTTTAAAGGGTATAATCTTTCATGAACGCTTTCATATATTCATTCATCTTGAAGAGGACTACAGTTAAGTCCCTCTAAGACAGGCACCTTTGGGACCAACACTGTGTGTCCGTCTTTAGAGAGTCAACTTAAAGGAATAATGAGATTAATTATCCACTGTGATGTTTTTTTTTTGCTTCTATGTCCTTCCTTGAAGTCTTAAAATATTTTTTGAGTCAAGTCTGTTATTTACTATTGAATTAGGAAACTGAAGTTGGCTTTATGAGAACCAAATGCCCGCGAAAAACTCATATATTCAAATCAGTGAGCAACGTTGCTTTTTTGTAAAGCAACACATTACAAATTTGAAAGAATGATTTCCTATTTTTACTTCTCCTTCGAACGAAAATGTTGAGGCACTTAGACAAACAGACAGTACAGAAAACGTAAAACATAACTTATCCTAAGTCTATCCATGGCATAACGTTGATCGATCGTGGGCAAAGAAATTCTATTTTTCGACCATCAGACCGTGGGCATAAAGCTGGTTAGAAGGGCTCTGTCACGCTATGATTGTTGTCTTTTTAAAAAGCTACAACTTGTGTTCGCATCGATTGAAATCCAAAAATAATGGTGCAGTTTTGTTATTTAACACTATATTTAGGCACTGAAACTGTTCCTTGTCGTCTGTTGCTAGGATGGCAAAGATGGACACGGATTAAAACTTGAAAAAATTGGGATAACTCTTTCAAGTTTGAAAGCCATGTCTGCAAAAATCACCAAAGAAAATATTGTGGTTAGAACTCCCTGATGAGATTGGATTACTCTCTTCTTCATAACTTTACAGGCCGGAGCATTTTGTGTATGGATAAAGGTACTAAGAAATGACTTTAGCACAGAATTGACCTAAAACAGCAATATCCTCCTGACATAGTCCGTTTAAACATGGGACTTTAAAGTCCCACGTTTTTGTAAGACCAGTAATCAACTCAAAAGATGATGATGGCTATTACTTTATTTACAACATTTGATTGATTGTTCAGAGTTTTAAATAATTCAGGATCTGATATAGTAAATTGGAAGGGTCATGTAAGACGATTAACTCTTTTCTTTTCCAGCAAAAATTGCTGAATTAAATCCAGTCAAAAGCTACTAAATGGCTTGAGAGGTTGGAGTTACATACTCCCAAGGTGTCTTAAGAGAGTTCGAATACAGGTATACATTTCGGCCTCCTTCATTTTATGTTATAGTTAAAGTAGGTGAAACAAACCGAAACATTTACTTAACCGACCAGAGAGTATATAATGCACATTAAAGAAATCAATTAAATTTTTCAATTTTTAGTTAACGATCTCCGTGTAAGAAATTGCGCAGGTTGATGCAACGCAAACATTGTAACCAAATTTATCAAAGAGGAAAGCCCTGACCAATCGCTTTTTCATAATATTTCGTTTCATTATTAAAGTAGCACAGGAGTACAAGTATGATAAGCCGTAAGCAAATTTTTGTTTAACAGAGACCTAAAGATAAACCGTTTCCGTCTACGGATAAATTATTGGAACCCGTAGCCGTTAATAGGGTAGGTGGCATCTTACCCCCGGAAAAACAGCTAAAAGCGATGCCTGGGAACGGTGATGCCATTTACACATCTGGGAAATCATTGTTCCCTTTTATATAACTACTTTACAAAACTGTTCACCTACCCTTACCCGAAGAGAAAAAAAAAACGGTGTATCTTAAGGTCCCTAAAGTTTTTTGTACACCTGCAGTAAAATTTGTGTGAGAGACAGGAATTAAGAGTAACCTATTTTACTCGCTAATAGGTGTATTTCTTAGCGGTCAGATCATGAACAAGTTTCTAAACCTTTAGTTATTCAAACGGAGTGCTCTACATCATTTGTTAAAGTGTAATAACTGCAGCAAGATGTCCTAATAGGGACGTAAGTACTAAACCGAAATAAGCTTTGAAAGGAAAAATTACAAATTAATGTCAAGTTAAAATTACTCTTTTAAGTTCCCAAAACAGTTGATGAGGAGGAAAGAAGCCATTAACGCATGAAAATCGCGGGTTGTAGGCCATTATACACACTCGATAAGCCAGTAAGCTTCAAGAATATCATACAGAGCAGAAAGTTGGGATGAAAGTACAGAGTTCACTAGCCCATAAAAATAAAGCAACGCTGTCATGTTTTGTTCCTCTATGGTCAAAAAACTAATTAAATACAAACAGATCACCACAGCCCGTAAGCAAATTTATGAACAACAGTACACTGGTATGGCGTTACATGGATATTCGTAGGTATAATCAGCAGTTTAATACAGTCTCAATCAACGTGGGTTCAATAAAAGCCAAAAAAAATGGCAATTTAAAAGTACTAAATTCGATCCGTTACCATCTATTGGTGAAGCTCCTGCGTATAAAAATTGTAATATTTTAACAGTATTAATTGTAACCAAATGGAGACCCATCAGTAAAATGCCTGAGGGTGTATGAAGGGAATGATTGTTGTCGATATGGCTCAGATGTGCAAGAGAATGGGTGAAACGATGACGTCATCATGTTATGTGGAAGCATTTCATGAACTGGCGGGAGAAATGTTGACATGCTCGGAAGATGATGACCATGATCGCGTGGTCGTTCCATTTCTGGTTTTCTTCTGAGAACAGGTGACATAACTGGCCGATTGCTATTTCTTGGAGATTGGTAAAAGGAGAGGTGGGAGAGTGAACATTCATGCCTGTTTCCTATGGTCTCAGCATTACAGAAACTTGAGAGACTCCTTTTTGATGTTAGCTCAACTCCGGACTTCTCGTGTTTTCGATACTTTGCTCTGCGATTTTTGAACCATACCTGTAAGAGGACCAAACAAATTGATTAAACGTTTCTGAGAAGGACATCGATGAAATGAGAACTAACGGACTGTCCTAACGAGGCAATAGAGATAAGAAGTGATGACGTAACAAAAATAAAATTTGTGAAAGAAGTTTACTTGCCAAAAATCAGCCTGTTGGTGCAGATTGGTGATAAACTAGGCGTTATGGTCATCGTTACTATCCAAGCCAATTTTAGAAGAACTTGTACGGAGTCATCAGAGCAAACCGGGGCATATACCTACCCACCAAATTGCACTAACAGGCTGATTTTTGACAAGGGGGCGTTTTTCATCTTGTTCCTTTCTGAATATTCTAACCAATCCCATAATTTTACAAGTTTGAATTTTTTGACTTCAATTTTCTCTTCTCTGTTGTTAATCCATATATCGGTAGATTCCTCTTCTTCTCTCCCATACCGCACCTTTCCCCTTCTTGTTCCTCTCTATATTCTTCTTTGTTCCCCTCCCTTGATCTATCCAGTCACTCCACAGCATATTCTAGAAATATTTTCTAAAACGGTAATACAGTTAACTCTCTTTTAACGGACTCCTCGCGAAGACGGACACCAAGAGCTGGTCGCTGCATTTCTATAATCCTAGAAGACGGATACAGTCAACTGCCTTTTAACGGACACCTCTATAAGACGGACACCAAGAGCTGGTCCGTGCCTTTCTATGTTCCTTTAAGTTGACTCTCTATACAAGACGGATACAGTCAACTGCCTTTTAACGGACACCTCTATAAGACGGACACCCTGCTAAGACGGACACCCAGAGTTGGTCCCTGCCTTTCTATATTCCTTTAAGTTGACTCTCTATTTGACGGACACTTCTCTTAGACGCACTTTAAGTGCTGGGCCCAAAGTGATGTGTCTTACAGGGAGTGGACTGTAATTCAAATGATTGTTACATTTTGGTCCTTTTCCCAACCAAAGCCAAGTAATTCTTATTTACCTGTATTCTTGATTCTGGTAGGTTTGTAAAATTTGCTAACTGCTCCCTTAGTAGCACATCTGGATAATGTGTCTTGCAAAAGGTCTGCTCTAAAACTTGAAGTTGCCGAGGAGTGAAACAAGTGCGCATGCGTCTTGGCTTGCGTCTTCCTTTATCATCTTGATTGTCAAGAATAACATCTGCGTTCAAAGCAAATAATTTCCTTTACTTTTATGAATACTGCAGTGGAGAAGTTGGCGTCAATGCTCGACTGCTCAATATCGACGCTTGAATTCTAGAGTTCTTTTCCAGTATCTGGCCACGGTTGTTAAAACGTTGGATAGCGCTATCCACCGGATGGATCACAATCCAGTGGATGAGTATTAGGAAAAAAAAAGCAATTACATTATTCACTCGGTTGATATTTATCCCATGGATAGCGCTATCCACCTTTTGAACAACTGAGCCCAGACCTATAAACCTGTATTTACAGTCAACTCTCTTTTAACGGACACCTCGCTAAGACGGACACCTAGAGTTGGTCCCTGCCTTTCTATAATCCTTTAAGTTGAATCTCTATAAGACGGACATTTCTCTAAGATTGATTCATAGTGCTGGTCCCAAAGGCGTCCGTCTTAGAGGGAGTTGACTGTATCAGTATCAGGCAGGCGAGTGCTTAAAATTCGAAGTCTCCCTCGGCTGCGCCCCTCTCTTCGCGTCGTGACTCCCGGTCATAAAATTCTCTCCAACTACGAGGGGCTAATTGCTGTTGAATTCAAGTATTGTACTTCAATAACTGAAACTGGTGTGGCAGCATGTAAGTAATGTGAGTTTGCTCTAAAACAGACAGTTACCTTGAATTTATAGGAAACGACTACAACGGATTAACTCCAGCCATCGCGGAACGTTTAGTTATACTGGCATATTGTCAAAATTTAATTTAAATGAACTTGTCAGGCGATCGAGAAGCAATTTTTTAGATAAGTTGTGTTGCGGCATTCTTAATACACATATCATTTTCAGCATTAACTTAAATGCAATTTTTGCGCTCAAGGTTTTATTGATGTAAGACGCCCCTTTTTTGCGGGCATCCAAAACCGATTTTAACCAAATGTGAATGTCAAACGTTTTAAGTTTATCTATGTTTTAAATTCTTCCGAAAGTGGCCATAACATAGTGTAAAGCAATCATTCGCTAGGATGCAGCAAGGCCAACATCCTAGCACTTAAACCTTTGTGTCATGGATACATGCATGGTCACTGTCTTGACTTTAATCTTCTGGTCTCTGGCTCGGAGATCAGAGATCATGGCCCGCCAAAGTTCAACTACTGCAGTGCCAAACTGGTTAATAAAGCCAACTTACTGGGTCTGTCTTCGATTTTCTTGCATACCACAAGTGCATAACTGAGATGTTATTTTAGAGTAAACACAGATGTGTTAGTAGACTGATGGTCAATTGTAAGTGATTTATCGTTTTAAACGTACTTTTGCGAGTTATTTGATCACACGAAAAGATTTTCTTAATCATCATAAGTTGATGATTAGTATCTATGACTTCAACTTCTGATAAGTATTTGAAATTCTCCAAAACGTTTTATTTTGCAGAATATACTCAAAAGGCTCTTGACTAGTACTGCTAGCTTTCTTTTTTCTGTAATGGCACTGGGTGAACTATCTGTGTTCACATTAAGGCCGTTTGAAACATTCCTTAAAATTGCTAACTTAGTATGATAGGAATACTTTTTCTATCAGAAGAATCAGTATTACTGGTTATTGTAACCGCCCATGTTCTCTCTCACAAAACACCCCTCAAAATATTAAACAGATGTTGTCTCTGAAGCCTATCGAAAAATGTGCATATTAAGAACGATTTCAGAAGCTTTTTTTTATGTAAAACGCCGTTTTAATGGCATTACAAGTTATGGACAATTAGGAAACATAAGAGTATAGTGTGAGGGTGGAGCACCTTCTGGTTTACTCGATTTCTCACTAGTAGAGCACCATATTAAGTGTTCTTATAATTTAAAAACAAAATATTGAACATTTGCATACAGACTGTCCAAAACCGACTTAACCCAAATGTTTATGTCCAACGTTTCAAGTTTCTTTATGTTTAAGTTCGTCCGAAAATGGCCATAAGGCACTGGCTATAGGTGCACGTCCTGGCACTAAGACCTTTGTGCCATGGATACATGTTCTCTGTGCTGAAGTTTAATCTTTATGTCTCTGGCTTGTATATCAGAGATCATGGCCCGCCCAAGTTCAACTAGTGTGGGCCACCTGATTAACGAAGCCACCTCACAAGGTCAATCTTTTGTCCGCGTCGATTTTTTCTTGCATATATTTGTGCCAGTCTTTTGGTCAAGATAATTTTGTTGCATACTGACATGTCAATGCCGAGTAGACACAGATGTGTTAGATCGACGGTCACTTGCAAGTGATTTATGATTTAAAACGTACTTTAGCAAGTTATTTGATCACACGAAACTGAGATTTTCTTAATCATCATGAGTCTATTATCAGTATGTGATGACTTCAAAATTTTCCAAAACTAGTTATTTTACAGGGTATAATCAAGAGACTTACTGTCCTATGGGTGCTTGACTACCTTTCGTTTTTTCTGTAATGGCACTCCAGCTATCCAGGACCGGGTTTAACCAAATGTTAGTGTTAAACGCTTCGAGTTTCTTCGTTTTACTCCGTCCGAAAATGGCCATATCTAGGCACTCGATAGGGGTAACAGCAGGGGTGTTCCAAGACCCACATGCTGGTGCTTAAACCTTTGTACCAGTTGGATGGTCACTGTCCTGAACTTTAATCTTTTGGTCTCTGGCTATTAGATCAGAGATCATGGCCCGCCCAAGTTAAACTGCTGTGGGCCACGCTGATTAATAAAACCACCCCTCTAGGTCAGTCTTCGATTTTCTCGCATACTTCTGTTTAATTGTTATGTAAATTTCAGAGTAAACACAGGTGTGTAAGACTGATGGTCACTTGCAAGTGATTTAGGGTTTCAGTTATACTTGCGAGTTATTTGTTCACACGAAACGATTTTCTTTGTCATCATAAGTTTATGGTCAATATCTATGACTTCGACTTCTGATAATTATTTGAAATTCTCCAAAACTTTTCATTTTACTGAGAATACTCAAGAGACTTACAGTCCAAGACTCTTGGTTATCAGAAGAATCAGTATGATTGGTTTCAATGTTCTCTCACAAACTGACACCACTCAAAATATTCGAATAAATGTGTCCCCGAGGCCCATCGAAAATGTGCGTATTTAAGAACGTTTTCGATTAAAAACAAATAAAAGGACTTTATCTAGAAACGTTTTGGTCTATAATTTTTCCTGTCTAATTGAACCCGCAAAATAAAGTAAAGAATGGTTGAATACCAAAGAAACAGCCAGTCTGTTAGGAAGTAAAACCTGACAAGATCGTAAAAACATGATGAGTGATCTTCTTTGCACTGTTCATGTTATGCCCAACAAAGAGGCTCCAACGTTCATCAAGTGTATGTATATTCTGAAGTGTTTAGATTACTGACAGCTATTTAACAAGACTTGATTTTGATTTCAGTCAGTGCGGCAAAGATACATATTTGAACTATCATTCATTCCAGCAACACAGATCAGGGAAAAAGGTGAAACACAAAGTCAACTCTGTTCCTACGAGGCTTACTAAACGTTTTCTCTAATCAGGGCTTTTAGACATGTTGCATGGTTATAACCACCGACAGAATTCGAGTGTCCATCTTAACGGGAATCGCAAATTATTCAATCAAACTGAGGGCTCCAAGAAGGATCCGTATTATTTTTTTAGTATTCTATTTCCTCTTATTCTTTCACTTCTTTATGCAAAAAACATCATTGCCTTAATAGCCAAAACCAGTTCTTGGTAAAATTTTTGCCGTGCAAGTGGAAATTCTACACACTGCCAAGCGATTAAAAGATGTTTTCTGTTATAGTCCAAAATTCCTGTCCTCGGAATGTATGAGTAAAAAGAAAACTATTGTACCCTTATCACACAAAATGATAAGTAGAAATCGTCCCTCTAACGATTTTCTAGAGTTCGCCATGACCCTAAGTAATCGGTGCCATTTCCGCCACTAAAGTTTCCTTCCAGGGTAATTAATCATTCTAAAAGTCAAATAGGCACGTACAAAATGTCGGGATGTAGTACTCGGCGCCTCATTTGTTAAAATAGTAGTATCGCCGACAGGCGAATGTCGTTTTTGATAAATTGTTTCTTATGCAGGATTTGATGGAATTGCTCCACCTCGCACTTTGAGGTCAAAACGTGTCGTTATTTTTCCTCAGGCACCAGACTGAAAGCAAAATGGGCTGATGGTGGCATTACATTAGCAAAGATAAAAAATATGCCATTTACGTTAACCCTTTTATATTTGAAATTCTCTCTTTTTCATTCTCTAAAGTGACTAAACCTCCTTTTAACATCCATTTTGTAGCTTTCTTTCTATGCCGCGGGTGTATTTTGTACTAAATCTGCGTTAAAACTTATAACTTCAAATCATAGATTACCTAGGAATGTCAGAGGATCGGTTTCGCGATTAAAACACGAGGTAAAGCGGACTGGTTTTAGAAGCTCTGTTTAGACTATCGATGAGATCGTACACTAGGAGAAATTTATTCAGCAGCTTCAAGTTTTCAGTTTGATTGCATACTGAAGTCTTCAAGCCGTTCTGTTCCTATTGTATTCTGTTAAATACTCTTTTAGTCATCAAAGTAAACTTCAACTGTTTGTCAGTTCATTGTGACAGTATAAGGTTATAATGGCTCTTTCTGGAAAGTAAATATAAAATAAGTTACCATTTTTGTGGGTGTGACAATGTTCCTCCGGCATCTCCTTTGAAGAAGACCAAACAACTTTAAATGCCTTTCTTTTCCTTAGGTAGAAATTTCTGCTTTTGGTCAAATGATAGCAAATCGTGAACCGGTGATTTTGGTTCCCTCTGTTTAGCGATTTAACCAGTGTCGCTTCCTGACTTAATACTAACAACGAATTCCTGTTATTTCCCGGTGAGTTTATGTTAGCAAATTAACAAACACTTCGCCTAAGGGTTTACGACACGGCCAGTCAGTGTAGTTAGTGGCATATGCTACTGATTCAGCTGATTTACCGATTGTGGTGTTTAATTGGAATTTTGTGCAAAAAACTGAAGAAAATGATAGCACACACAGTGGTAAAGAAAACGTTTAAGTTGTGTTTCTTGAATCATTTTTTGACCCCCTTGAATCAGAGGTTTCACGACATAACCTAACTTAATTATGAGTCGTACGAACAATCGATTAACAGGAAATGAACACGCAAGACGTAGGCGCTGTTTATGCGATTAAGTTACGATTGATTTATTATTTATTTTCTGGGAAGTAAAGAGAGGGATGGGGAGAGAGTGATAATACACCTCCTTCCTACACGACAAAACTGCAAATTCTGAAACTATCCTACCATTTCTGCCATCCTTTGTCAGGAAACCATTACATGGTCGTAAGGTCACCCAGTCCCCAGTCTTGAAAAGATTCGGATGTGCTAAGTGAAGCCCGCCATCTCTTCAAACTCGATTAAGGATTTGTGCAGCCAGTCTTGCGCTAATAGTACTACTAGTTACACTTCGTGAAAAGGTCATATCAAAAAGAAATATTCACGGATTAGCATTGTGACCTGAAAAGCTGAAATCGCTTTGCGATGAAGGGGATAGGAAAAGGTATCATGTGTTTTGCCATCTTAATGTCCATTTGGTTCCATTTGCCACCTTTTTAGCAAGCCCCGACCGCTTAAAAGTGCCATAATGTAACAGATTTAGGTACTTACAATTGGGAAAGAAATAATCATTGAAAACTATATATTTTTTTCTATATATTTTTGGCAAAATCCAATGACCACCCAAAACAAATTTAGTGAGAAAACAAGGCGCCTAAGTATGTCATCACAGATTAACCCCTAGCAACTTGTGGTGCTACAGAAGACAACTTCTTTAGAATGTCAAGAACGCATAACTTGCTAAGCCGAAAATGCGACATGAAATGCTTCTAGACCTGGCTACACACGCAAATTAGGACAGTAAATAAGCTGCTTAGCACCTCTTGCCCATACAGATTAACACTCTTGAGAAAATAAGATTTATGCAGTGACTGATGCTTTTCAGTGGGGTGTGGAGTTCGTACGCTTCGAGCATGATTGTATAAGCGCCAGTGTGCAAAGGAATGCTTTGTTTGTTGATCTCTTTTCCCGCTTTGGAAGATTAGTTACTCGATTTATTGTTAGTCTACTAATATTTAGACCACTTTGCCCCTCTAAATTGTAAAACCACAGGCAAGTTTAGTTGGTAGCCGCAATCATAGAAGAACCGTGTTTCCATGCTTTGTTACTGCGAGAGTTCAATTCACAGTCGCATTGAGTCTTGTCAGTGTCTTGTGGCTAGCAGTAGAAAATCTTTGCATATTATCACTCTGACCAAGTTATTAAAAATAATAAATCATATATTTTCAGTTGAAAGTCTATGAAATTGAAACTGCACTTCCTAAATTCCCTGCCTTGTGTCCTTGGCTTTGCTTGCATGCTGTGATTAATGAACGCAATTTCATATGGCAACCGTAAGCAGCTACGGATTTCCACTAAAATTCCTTTTTTTTTTCACCATTAAAACACTCAGTTTATAACATATTTTTTACACGATTATCAAGTGTCCCTATAAACAGTTCAGTTACAGGTTTGGAGTGGCCAAATGGCGTCTGTGTTGATTTCACAATGTTGATTCTTGACAAACAGCTACTACTAGTAACTGCAGAGAAAAACATAGTGTATTTCAAATCACACTTGTATGTGACTTGGACGTCTTTTTTTCTGTTAAGCTGCTGAATTTCGAAGGTATATGGTATGATGAGTACACTGAAAAACGACGCGTACATGCTAGACTAGACGCAACAACCAAGGTTAGAGGTACAACAATGTTCGCAATGATTTACCGTGAAAGACAAAACAACTGTTTCATACTGTAAACTCGGCCATTAATCATTTCTTTCATTGACGGCCGCATTCGCTTCAGCTTCTAAAGGTGTGTGAGTTTCTAATCATTCTGTGGCAAGGAACACGAAGATTTCATATGTACAGCTGATTCGATTTGTAGCATATGCAAAAGTGAATATTCGAGACTCTTCCAAAGCCAGCCTGAAAATTTACCAAAACCATATTTCCGTAACGCAGTTTTCTTTAAACTACCTTTTCAATCAATAGGAAAGAAAAGACTGGAGATTTCGAGGCGTGCAACAAGTCCCAGATTACATTTTACTTCAGGTAACGGCGTTATATTGGGTGTACCGCTAATATATCGTTCTACAGTGGTGCGAAAACTCACAGTTTCAGTTCAGTAATAATCAGTAACTGCAGTGTCGTTGGCCTCGAGGTTTCGAACTATGCCAAGATTCAGAGAAACTAGGATATATTTTCGTGTAAAGCAGACAACCAATATCACTTTGTATATTTCAAGAAAGAGAGAGAATGAATTCAATTTCTAATAACTGACTATTTTTTTGGGTAATGTGGTAAACAAAAGAAGCGATTTTTGTTCCTAAACTGACTAAATTGAGAGGATCGAGGCATGCGACTGATCATTCAACTGCACCCTGCTATCCGCCACAAACAGGATATATCATTCAGTACAAATTTGATGTATAACTGTCTTTCTTCACTACAAGAAAATTGTCAAATAAAGTGACCCCTCAAAAGTGTAGTTTTCTGCTAGAAAGTAGAGCAATAAACCCTCTTGAAAACTAGCGCTGCTGGAAGCTAATTTAGGGATGTGTATTTGTTAACGATTATTAGGTTCTAAACTAACAATCATCAAACCACTAAGCGTTTTATTAGCTGTAAAAATCATTTGTTACTCAATCTTCAAAGCACCTTTCAGGCAAGAACTGTTTTCGTGTTTTCAAACACGAAGGCGTTAGAAAACGGGCGGTGTTTGGCGACGCAGACACTAATAGTGTGCTAAAACGCAGTGCAAGAACTAAAGAACTGTCTACCACCTGAGGGTATTCTGTATGCAGTGTGAATTATCGTCGTCCTAAACGATGAACTACAAGTTTAGTGTTCTGTACAAAATAACTTACCGGTTACAAACTCTCTACCTTTTGCCTTTCAAAAACTTGTTTCTTGAAGAAGTAGAACAAATATACTGCCACAAACCATGATCATTACGTCACAAACTACAATAGCCATTTTCTCTTCTAGCTGCAAACTCCAAACTAGTGCCGAAGACAAACTTCAGCGCTAAATGCTAGTTTCCCAAAAAGGAAAGATTAAGCCCATATCATTTTGTCTAAAACATCACGATTCAAAGACACCCGAGAAGACAACTTGAAACCGTCGCCTGGGCGTTCATCTCTTGTTTGCATCAATCAGACAACAAACGTTCATTGCCGTCACATTTGCGTAGCTTCTTTTATAATGGCACAGGTCAACAGAAAAAGCGTTGAAAAATGACCAAGTGACCTTGCCACGTCAAAACAGCTAATATTTATAGCTTCCAATAACCTGCATTAAAAACTTTTCGAGCTTGTAAAAATAATCAGGGGGAAAGACCTACCTGCTAAGCGTTCCGCTAGCGACATTGTTGCAGCGGGGGAACGGGGTACAGTTGCCTGGTGCTGGTTGACACTTCTGAAGTGACCTCGATTAGGAGAGAAACTGTCGTTCCGTAGGATACTCGTAATGTTAAATGGGTAATATTTCGTTTCCATGCCACCTGAGCTATACATTAAAAAAGGAACCCTAGAGGAAGGATCAAGAACCGCAAATGAGACTTGAATGAAATGTGCCGTCAATTTGTACAGTCTGGAATCCTTTCATCTACCGAAACTGGGTGTGTCCTGTTGTTTATCAGGAAGTAGACCCTGTCGCCCCCAAAACGCATTTATTTTGGGTTGTAATCACACTTACCTAACATTACAAGTGCTGTTAATTACTCTTGTGCATCTCACATAAGCTGCGAGTCAAAGTGTTGTTTACTTTGCGGCCAGGATGAGATGAAATTTTACTGATTTTAAGCACTTTGTTGTGATTTGTGCGTAATGTATGTCAACTCGAAACAGGGGATGTTTCTTTGTTACCAAATCAGTTCATTGCGATATTTTTAGCTCTTAACAAAAAGTTAACAGCCAATTTTGGTTTCCGCCATTGTGACGAAATTTTAGGCCATTTTTAAGTATGACTATCCAAGGTTAATGAATAAGTTGTCTGTCCCTTTCCTTTTAGCAGCTTATCAGGGATCTTTGTAGTGTCAAATTGAGATAGCTCAGAAAATACATATATCTCTATTTTTTCTTTTAGATTTAAAAATTCATGGATGTTCAGACATACACGCTTGCCTAAAGGAAATAATCAGTATTGAGACGTTCAAGATTTACCAAGACGGAGACCAGCATTCGTCATTCCCTGTACAAACTCAGTGTTACAAGCCCCGGGTGTCTAGTGTCCTATAGAAGAGAGAACGTGGCATTGATTGATGGTAAGTTAATTTCTTCCATTGTTTGCCCCACCTAAAGGTGGTGATTTGCTTTCTTTTCCAAGAGGAGCCCCTAACACCTCAAAATAAAAAAAGGAAAATCCACTTGTTTGAGAGTTTGGTGAGTGAAACGCAAAATTCTGGTTTGGTACCACATGGTGTTTCCCATCAGCACGATCAAATTTAAAATACCTTTGTGTGCACCTGTGTGAAAATACACCGGTCGCGAGGCTCCACACAGAAGACCGTAAAGGTCTTTTAAAAAATATATGTATATATTTAACCTGCCATGATCTTTGCACGGCTTTATGTCGCTAACATAATCGTTTACACACGTCTTCAATTCCCGGCACTTGACATAATTTTTGTTAAAGACGAGGCCCTCTTAGTGGATGAGCGGGTACGTATGTCCCTAGTCTGAATTTCATAACCCGTTGTTTCGAGTATTGAGGAGCAAGGCGTGTCCCTTTCGGTGTTTTACTCCTTCATTTCAAATTGCAGTTGTCCTTGTCGCAGTTTCAAACCATCTTTATGTCGTTTGTTGCCATTTCAGCTGCCTTATGTCGCTGTTTCAGTTCAAGGACATGTCGCTTCATTGCCTCTAGAAGGGTAAAAGAGGTCGCGTCATGTTTCTCGTCGCTCATTGTTTTGGGCAGGAAAATTAATTACTGTCACTTGTGGGTGCAGGCTTTCCGCAAGCAACGTGGCTGCGTCGGTAGTCGGCTGATCCCGGCTGTGTAATCGCTCAGTCTAATATTCCTCGGCCCTTGGCCTCTAACGGAAAACTTTCCTACAAGCTCGGTGGGAATTTCTGACAGGCGTGCTTTAGAAACATAAAACCTTACCACAAAGAAAGAGATTTCAAACTAGCGAGAATTAGAATTTCCAAAGACCCGTCGCTTCACTGAAAACGTATAAGACTTATTTCTTGGTGATGTTGCATTAAGTAACGATTTCTTCCATTTTCCTTCCGAGTACGTTTCAACAACGATGAGCTTTCAGATTTCGACTAATCGGATTAGGAAATGGTGCATTTGTTTTGTGCATCATATAAAATATTTTGATTCTTCTAGGATCCTTATCCTTCAGTGACAATGATCATTAATCACTTTCGGGACAATTTCCTCGGTATTTGCAAGATCCTTCACGTTTGATCACGGTCGATTATTAATTCGTTTTAGGCAGTTTTGGTAGAGCGCAAAAAAGATGGAGCTACTTGTAATATGCTGCTTTTTGTCGAGCATGATTAAAGGTACTCTCGAACGTCCATACCTTTGCTGGCTTCATGTTGAGTGATTTGTCAACTAAGATTAAGAGCAGATTTTCGTTGGTCCTCTACTCCTTCGCAACATTCTTGCTAATCCTTCCGTTCATCACGAATTTCCACTATTACGCGGTAAATTACAAGATAATAGGATTAGCATATCGTATCCATTTGTCGCACAGGTGGTGCAATGCGAGCAACGTTTTGTGTACATAAAAAGTGAAAGTATATGTTTATCTGCACCCTACCTATAAGAAACGTGAATCCTTGAATTGAGAGTGAGGTATTAAATATATTGTAATTTGGAAGAGGAGAAATGTAACACCAGAACGTTCAACGCATTTGCAGGGCGGCTGCTATGATTTATGATTTAAATACTCAGGAATATGGAAAGAATAGCTTTCCATCACTCAATCGTTTCTACTATGCGCAAGAGCTAACGTTTGGTTTCAGTGGAAGGCATATGAAGGGTATAGCAATACGGTATCTCTGATGCGATTGCTTGGCTTCAAAAATTACCCTGACCTTTTGCCTTCATTTTCCCTCCTTCTACACAGATGCAGCTATTCCTAAACAATAAATCCTTACATGGCTAAAGACGTTAAAACAGAATGAGATAAGACTCAGAAAATAAGGTTGATGTGGTTTAGTTTAATAGCCTGAAGGGTCCTGAAGATCTTAGGAATCTTAGGATCTAGAGCCAATTGCGAAATGTGTAGAGACACTTATTTCGCCCAAAATGGGGTACGATCAAATTTCGCACTATTCCCGTCCCTTTCCCTTCTACAGCGCTTTGTCCTACACTGTCCCAATCATATTGTACCTTTTTGTAGAGTGAAATTAAGCCTGTAGTTTTAAAAAAGGAAGTTAGCTGCAAATGTCACTCCACTGGAACGCTGCACTTTTTTGTTCTCAGTTATTTTTTCTACGCATTTGTTTGGTAGTTTGTCATCTGAAAACGTACGAGACCGACAGATCACTTCACTCGGCTGCAGTACGCGCACAGGCCGGTTCTTTTGGCTCGTTACGCAATCCTTGCGAGCAAGGAACGGGTGACGAAACAACAGGCTGAAACAAGAACGGCAATAGAAGACGTGAGAGACGACTGGGGACGAGTGATGTTTTATCTAACCGGAGATATGAGTCGAGTCGAGTCGCTTGCAATACCACTCATTAGCCCTTAGAGAGAAGAGATAATGTAATTTGGAATGCTAAGTTTGCTGCGCTGTGTACATTGACCTTGACCCCTTTAACATGAAATTTGACAAGTGCAAGGTTGTCGTGGTGTACATGCTGACATTTGCTTTTACCGGGGCGTTGTGGGGGCTAGTCAGTCACATGTATTGTATTATACTCGACTTGAACTGAACACCCCACTTGGAGAAAAATGGAAAACATCTTGATCACACATAATAGAACTGTTTTAGTCACTAGTCGTAGTAACTACAGTTTTTTTCTGCCCTTATAATATTGACATTGCTTTGGGAAGGTCACATTTGCTCATTAATCCGGTCAAACAAATAAGACATTTAAAAGGTCATGTTGGTTTATAGGGGTGATCTTTAGATTAAGTAACCTATCGAAACGTAAAACAGATTTATTTTGTTTCCATTTGCGGCATACTAATAATGCGTTAATTAGCCGATATCAAATTTTCGTTTGTTGCGTACTATTTGGTAGTTTCAAATTTATGCCGAATAAAAGGATGGTAAATATTAAGTAATAAACAAAATTAGTTAAGTTATAATGATTTTTTGTTTAGTTGTTTGTTGTCCACCCAGACTTAAAGCGGCTCTAAATAAAGTGAGTCGAGATTTACTTCGATTTACTGCGATGATCATTCTTCACTCTCATCTACAACCGCGGTTCCAAAATGAATCATTTCATATACTTCACAAAGTGATAATCATTAAGGAAACCTAAAATAACCTACTGGTATTCCAGAAAATATGTCGCAAGTTCATGATGAGCCCTTTCAATCATCTTTTACTTTCAAAGCAGCCTTTTTTCAGTATTATGTACGAAGCTGCAGCTGCTATCTGCAGTTCTTTTAAATCATGAATTATCGGTTTTAAGATGTTGTAGCCTGAGTATCAGGCCTTCCTAAGGGGATAGGGGAGAGGAGATTTTTGATGGAGGAGGGGGGAGGGGGGAGAAGAGAAAGGAAGGAAGGTTTCTCTCCTTCAGCTCTCTCCCTTTTTCGCTTCCATCTTTCCCCTTTTCCCCCTTTTGATGGAAACGCCTGATACTCAGGCTAAGATGTTCTCAATGAAACAGGAAGTGAAGGGCCCGGATGCTTAGCCCGATTACCCTTTCTATCTTCCGTCTGCATGAAGATAAAACAAGTTGCGGCTATTTCGGTAAAGCGTTTGGTGTTCAGGGACTGGAGTGACATTCAGATCCAAACGAGAAGAAAAAAGCAGCGAATGTAGACAGAAGCCGAAATATAATAAATCAAACACCCTAATGTTCTCTTTCGTGTTCTATTGTGGTCTCATTATAAAATATAGGTTCACTCAGCATGCATTCAGTAATATCCCTCAACAACTGCACTAAATAAGTCAACCTCGTTCCCAGGGTTCTCTCCTACCCGCCTTACGGAGGACAGGGCGAGTAGGAGAGAACCCTGGGAACGAGGTTGCAAATAAGTGAGATTCACATGCACATTTGCCAATGTCTTCGATTGCGTCACCTGTACGCTACGTTAAAGATAAAATAAAGCGACTGTTTCCGAAAAGTCGACCATCGAGATGTTTAGAGAAACGACAAGGACGTATCGAAACCAGTAGCTCGCTATTTTAATATTTCCAATCATTCCAGCGAAAAAATGGCAATCTGCGGTCTCTTTCTTCACCAAGGCATCACGAAAGGCCTCAAAACTCTAGAGCAAAACTTATCTTTCAAATCGACACTCTCAATCGCCACGGAATCAACGAACGCTTCACGTTTTACCACGTTCCCACCAACAACGTTTCCAACCTCCGGTGTATAAACCACATACCCGCAACCCACAATCCCCTGGTTTC